TCAAATAAATGTACCCATGGTGAGAGACATCTTGCAAAAACATTAAACAATCTCTCCTACTCCAAACTTTTTAATTAATAATTATAATTTTACTGTTTTTAGACATTACATCACAACAGCATCAAGTGATCCTAAATACAGTATGTTCTTTGTTTTGATTGTGCCTAGCAGGACATCAGCTACATGCTTTCTGCCGTCCACCATCACTCACTGTAAAGCATGCTGGCACGTCAGCCCATAATTCCTGTTGAAATGTGGTCTCATCCATCTCCAGACACTGTCCTGACAACCCCTCACTGTCAGCCCTTCTTTGAGGCTGGCCGTGTTTCCCATCGCGGTGACTCCGGCACAAACTGAAGGAGAGTAATGGAGGAGTGTTTGTCTGCAGGACCCCTGCTGCTTTGCAGATTGAAATGCTGATGTGCTGAGCAGTCCGTCCTGTTATTTGACTGCTGATGGATCACGATTATCCACTGGGTCGATGTTCATTACACCTGTTAGAGAGACAGGAAGCAACAGATTGGAAGAGTGAGGCAACATGTACATTTTATTCAGTGTTCTTCTCGTTCTGTGGAAGGAAATGCCTGTCCGACACATCTGGGGTCTGACTAGGCACGGGGATTTCAAACTTTTTAATGATAAGTACCTTAAAGATGATGATGAAGAAGAAAGTTAGCTACATAGACCATTTTTACTGCGTGAGAAAAAGAGTGCTATTATAAACACAACATGCTATTTACAAAAATATATATATGTGTGTGTGTGTGTGTGTGTGTGTGTGTGTGTATTTATATATATATCAATTAATTCCTTCAAAAATTCAAAAAGTCTAGAGGTGTTTGTGTACTTTGTGTGCTTGGATGACAATTCAGTCAAAGCTGTGATTCATATTTTGCATCAAGATGGCCATTTATGTCCTTCATTGGAGCGTGATACATGTGTTTCTGAGGACAAACAAGGCTTTTTCCCTAAACTGCTATACAAGGGGTATTGATTTGTATATAAAATTATTGTATAAATATCATATGTATATATGTATTTGTTTTATACTTCATTATGTATTATACACTATTATATGTTTATATAATGTATATTTATATAATTTTCTAATGTGTTTGCATTTATTTATTTATGTACCTTGCAAAGGAATCACATTTAATACCCATGGCATTAAAAAGTTTGATTGCTTCTGTTGAATGGAGAGCACTGATTAGACATGAGTCATCAATATGGAAGAGAGAGACTAAATTGTAGAGCAAAAATTTGCTAAAGATTCATTTTGTCAGTTTTTAGTGGTGCACTAGCATATAGATGACCTAAAATCTAAAAGATTTGGAATGAAAGTCAGAAAATTCTTATCTTTATTTCTTTAAGCACTTCTTAAGACTACTTCTAAGCTGTTTTTCTAAGCTTCAGGTTCCTACATGAATAGCACGCTCAGTGCCAAGCTTCAACACTTGTAGGACCGGAAATCTGGCTTTAAAATGCACGATCGCTGCTCTTTAGAGGGATTTCTTAGAGCACTCGACTCGTACATCACGTTTATGCAGGCATTTGGTGGAAACAAATCAATCCAACCATTCAGGTTCTTTGTATATGTTTTAATAAGAAGCGAGGGCACACCGAGGCCTCGGTTTGTATTCTGCAGAACGAGTAGTGCTACGCCTTCCTCTAAGGAGGAGCAGGGCTTATTCAGGGAGAGTTATTCAGGAGCCTTTCAGATGACCAGTGTCATTATCACCCAGAGATAGACACTGCAGTGTGCGGTTGGGCAAGTCTTCAACAAAACGTCTGCTGTTAGTGTGCATTTTGAAATGGATTAAAAGTTCTTTATCACATCACCCACACTGTGCTGGGCATACAGTGAAGCCATTTACGGAGGCGGCCGAGTGATTGATCCTCCAGCCGCCTTTAAGAAAACATAATGGGGACTGTGACTCGTGCCCCTCAGATGAATCACTCTGCCTCAGAAAACACTGGAGGCAAGTTTTCGACAAATGCTAAAGAGCTGCTTTTTTTAGTATGGATATTTAGTAGCAGGTATCTTTTTGTTCTTAAAAACGACTATAATTGTTTTTTTGTTTTTCTTTTAGTTTTTCTTTTTTTTTCTAGAATTGACATATTTACTTCTTGAAAGTTTGGGCCAGAAATATTAAAGTAAAAATTAAAAAATTTGTAAATTAGTAAAAAATTAGGCATATATATTTTATAAATTATATATTTTTTCCTTTAAGCACTTCTTAAGACTACTTCTAAGCTGTTTTTCTAAGCTTCAGGTTCCTACATGAATAGCACGCTCAGTGCCAAGCTTCAACACTTGTAGGACCGGAAATCTGGCTTTAAAATGCACGATCGCTGCTCTTTAGAGGGATTTCTTAGAGCACTCGACTCGTACATCACGTTTATGCAGGCATGCATCTGTAGGTGTGAGAGTTAGAGCTCTGTTTCTTTCTTTCTGCTTTGTGTCTAGGCTTGGCGTGTGTTTCTTAAGACTGATGGATTTGTTTGAATATGTTCTCTGCGTACTTGAAGCCCTGGTGAATAATCCTCCACTCGTGTAACTGGCATTCACTCAAATGACCCAGGATATTGCAAACACTTCAGTCGCCAGCGTGCAGATCATTAAGGCTGAAAAATGGCACACAAAAGTGAATTTGGGATTTGAGAAATGTGATTTCTTCCGCCACTTGATTGTGGAATTAATCTCATGCCACATTTATAAGTATGTGTTGGCTGGTTATTGCTCTGTGAGTCCCTTTGAGGTCTCGAAATTAACCACATAAGAGCCACTTAAATAATTGCGCCTTGAAATTTAAACTGATTAATAATACAACAAAATACAAGCCCTTCAATGGCTGCTAGGAATCCCATTTCCAGTGTCAGACAACGTCTGACTTTTTAAATGCAGGGTGAATGTGTTACACTGATCGTGAGCCAGAATATATTGTTATTTTAATATAAACAAATTAATGAAATCATAAATTTCTAGAGGTTAGAATGTGAGGCATCTCACTAGAGAGAAATGCCTTGCTCTCTTAGCTGTCAATAAATGAGAGTGGACTGGATTTAGCTTGATTAAAATATTCTGGAGTGCTTGTTATTGGACCCACATTGTTAAATAAGTCAGCATTCAGAGTATTACATCTCGTAAGCTTGAATACATAATTGAAATTACTTGATTGCCAGAAAATAGACTAACTTTACCATTTTTAACCCTCTGGGGTCTGAGGGTTTTTTTTTGGGCCCTGGAGAAATTTTGACAATGCTTTTTTTCAGTTTCTTATAAACATATTAATGGCTAAAGTCTGATTACTGTATTCAGCACAAACTGTGCTACAGTAATATATAATCAGCATGTTTGTGCAAATTTGTATTTCTGAGAAAATGAGGTTTATGAGTGGTTAATGAAAAACGATCTTTGGCGTTTGTTCTGAATATACTCATAGTTTTGGCGCCATTCCACTGTTCTCTGCATTTCGGTGAAACAGAAACATAAACACTGATAACTGATTATTCAGAAACCATAAATATCACTTGAATGTAGGTAATGTTTAATAAAGCTTCTCTTCTGACGCATTCTTCTCTCCTGCAGGACACAGACCTGATTATGACCTTCAACATCTCCATGCATCGCTCCTGGTGGATGGAGAACGGCCCGGGGTGCAGGGTGACCCCAGTGACCCCTCCTCCCTCCTGGGCCCCGGAGGACCACCGCTACATCAGCATCGCCGGCTGTCTGCTGGAGTACCAGTATGTGGAGGTGGCCCACAGTTCCTTGCAGATTATCCTGGCTGTGAGTACAGTCTAATCCTTTACAGGCTTTTCTTTCCTTTTGCTGTGCTTGCGATTGCAGCTCCTGGTATTAAATATATATAGTCCTTTATTATGTGTCTCGTCTGATTGGTCGGTCGTGGAATTCTGAAGTGAAATATGGGTGTACAATGACAGCTAAACTGTATAATTGACTGTTTCCTCATGGATAAGAAGCTCTGGTTTAGAGTCAAATTCGGTAGGTGTCAGTGCAGTGCATTTGTTTTTGTCTATTTAAAACGTAACCAGTTGATTACACCAAGTCTGTAAATAACGGTTCAAGAAATGCTTCTGAATATGAGACACATCAAGAAGTTTGGCCAGGCTCCAGTGTTGATATTGCTTGAATGCGGGTTGTTAATAGGAGCTCAGCATGCTGCCTTCCTCCGAGTCTTTATTCTTTATCTCTTGCATTACCTGCGACACCTGCTTCTAACCCCCTCAACAATCAGCGCCTCTAATGCAATAGTGAAATGAACTCCCTCAAACGTGGATACAGCAGTTCTCTTTTTACAAGCCTGTACACGACTCTCCCTCTGCTTTCATTCTCATACACCGAAATCTAATTTATTGCAGTTTTTCCAATGCAACATGAAATTAGAATTGACCCTGTTGACTGCATGATTCATCAGTTTATGTTATTGAACTCTAATGTCCTTTGAGTTCTAACCAAAAGATTTTTGTTTTCTGTTGATGTAACCAAGGCCGTAGGGGCAAGGAAAAAAGTTAACCAATAATATCAGAGCCTACTTTTCATGATCCAACCAATTCCCAGTGGATGCAGTGAAGTCATACACGTTAGTTCGAGCTAAATATTATGTTTCATTAAAAAGGTATCACATCAAAAATTTTAAATGGGTAGTTGACATTAAATTATAGTTTCTATTATAATTCTATAATATAGTTTAAAAAATAGTTTCTACTCTCTATTTAACCTATTTTAAACTTTTTTTCTAATTCTCGTGTACTTAGGTATTGTATTGTATTGTCGAGTTTTCATAGTTTCATGTTTTATAGAGTTTTTAAAAGTTGTACAGTCATGTGAAAAAGAAAGAACGCCCTGCTGAATTCCATGGTTTTCCATATCAGGACACAATAAAAAATCATCTGGTCCTTGGCAGGGCTTAAAATTTGGAATATAAAACCTCAGATGAATAAAAACACATGACATATCACACCGTTTCACTATTTATTTAGCAAAAATAAATTCAGTATGGAAAAGCCATGTGTGACAAATTCAGGACACCCTATGATTCATTTGCTTGTAGATCCACTTGTAGCAGCAATCACTTGAAGTAATCATTTTCTGTATGACTTTATCAGTCTCTCACATCATTCTGGAGGAGTTTTGGCCCACTCTTCTTTGCAACATTGCTCCAGTTTAATGAGGTTTGTGGGCATTTGTTTATGCATGGCTTTCCCCAGCATTTCGGTCAGGATGAGGTCTAGACGTTGACTGGACTTTTGTAACACCTTGATTCTTTTTTAGCCGGTCTGTTGTAGATTCGCTGGTGTGCTTGGGATCATTGTCCTGTTGCATGACCCAATCTTGGCCAAGCTTTAGCTGTCGGAGGGATGGCCTCACATTTGACTCTGGAATACTTTGGTATACAGAGTTCATGGTCGACTCAACGACTGTGAGGTGCCCAGGTCCTGTGGCTACAAAACAAGCCCAAAATCATCAGCCCTCCACCAGCATGCTTGACTTTTGGTATGAGGTGTTTGTGCTGATATGCTCTTTAGGTTTTCACCAAACGTGGTGCTGTGCATTATGGCCAAACATCTCCACTTTGGTCTCGTCTGTCCAAAGGACATTGTTCTAGAAGTCTTATGGTTTGTTCAGATGCAGCTTCACAAACTTAAGCTATCCTGCCATGTTCTTTTTAGAGAGAAGAAGCTTTCTTCTGGCATCCCTTCCAAACATGCCATGGTTGTCTGGTCTTTTTCTAATTGTACAGTCACAAACTTTATCCTTTCCATGTTAACTGAGGCCTGTAGAGTCTGAGGTGTAGTTCTTGGGTTTTTTGCAATTTTTCAGAGTATTGTAGGGTCTGACCATGGGGTGAATTTTCTGGGACGTCCACTCCTGGCAAGATCGGTGTCTGTTTTGAATGTCTTCCACTTGTGAATAATCTTCCTCACTGTGGAATGATGGACTTCAAAGTGTTTGGAAATGGCCGTATTATTCTTCCCAGATTGATGGTAGCAACAATTGCTTCTGTAAGATCATTGCTGATGTCTTTCCTCTTTGGCATTGTGTTGACACACACCTGAAGGCTCCAGACGAGCAAACTGCCAAAAGTTCTGCTTTTAAAGAGCTGCTCACACTTGATGAAGATCAGTTAATGAAAGGAATTTGATCAGCAGTGCCTGACCATTACTTACCCTCTTAATTCCTATGTTAAAAAGTAAGGGTGTCCTTAGCTTGTCACACATGGCTTTTCCATTTTGGCATAGTTTTTGTTAAATAAATAATGACAGAGTGTGATATGTCATGTGTTGTTGTCCATCTGAGGTTTAATTGTCCAAATTTTAAGACCTGCCAAGGACCAGATGATTTTTTATTATGTCCTGATAAAGAAAACCATGGTTGTCCTTTCTTTTTCACATGACTGTATATATGTATATTTATTATATATATATATATATATATATATACACACACACACACATTTTATGTATTAATTATGTTTTTTATTTAAATGTATATATTTTAAATTATCATAATCATTTGTATATGGCAATAAATTATTGTTATTATTATTATTATTATTACCACTACTACTACTATTAACAAAATTGTTTTTAAAATAGTTTTACATGAAGTAAGGAATGTCACTACACAGGAATTCCCAAAAGTATTTAATGACAATTACCAATACAATATATATGTTTCAAATCTTGATGTTAAAAATATAGTTGATGTGTTAATGATCATGTTATTTGTCAACTACCCAAATGCACTGCACATTTTATTTAAAGGCAACATTTGTAAACAATGTTTGGATACTGATGTCATGCTTTTTGCGCATAATATCTCAAGCAACATGAGTTGCGCTGTGCACAAGAGCTTTTCTTTGCAATACCGGTATACCTTATCACATGTGATGTCAGGGGGACAGAAACTTTAATGGTGACCACCGGTGTCTCATAAAGAGCTGTAACAGAGCACACACTGAAAAAAATAACTATTAAGATTTACTTTAAAAAATTTTGGTAACAAATTGCACGAACACATTTTAAGTAAATTTTACTGCTCTAATATCAAGTACAACTTACTCACTATTATTAAGTAAAATCTACTTACTAAACTTAACATTCATGAAGAAATTAAATCTAAGTGCACCCTAATTAAGTAAATATTACGTAATTATATTTAATTTAAAAGTGTTTATTTAAAGTAATTAAGTAAAGTTTATTTATTATTTTATAGACAGGAACTGCGCGGATTCAAGCGCGCTGAACTTTTAGATTAAAATTTATTTAATATTTCTAGATTTATGTGCAATGACTATAAAACATAAATATTACAAGTAAATATTAATAAGAGTTACTCTTCTCACGCAGTTCATTAATTACATGAATTAAATGTGTAAATTTTACTTAGAAAATTGTTGTTCTTCTTGATTTTTAATATTACAAGTAGAATTTATGATGATTAATTTAATATATTTTACAACACCACGAAATCTTTTTTTTCAGTGCAGGCAGGTATCGGCTCCATTCACCCCGGTATTTATAGACCTTCCTCTGTTATGACTGATGTTCCTGTGGAGATATTATACAGCGAATAGCAGAGGAGAAAGGCAGCTGCATGTCTGTGCAGACAGAGCGCCTGGTGGGAGCTTTTAGTGGCTTTGTGGTGCCCCTTCTCCAGAGAGGAGAGCAGGAACCGCTATTCCCTTATTGATGGTCTGATCTCTATTTTACTGCAGGAAGCTATGTGCAGTTTGGGGGCAGGGCTATACACCCATAGGTAGATATAAAAAATCCTGATTTCTTTTTTTTTTTTTTTTCTCCATTTTCTTGTAATTACAGACCTGAAGCTCCTTGTTAGTTTGCTTGAGTATGAGATAATCCCAAGGCTGCTGAGGTGTTTTATAATGACTTCACACATGCCATGTAATTAGGCGTGTGTGGATGAAACAGATCTGAACATGTCGCTGTGGAAATGACAATATTGAAGGGCACCTGCTTCCTAAGGGAGCTTCACCTTCTGACTGTATACCTGAGGGATTTTGTCTTCAGGTATTTTTAAACTGTTCCTTATGATGAAGTACATGATATGAGAAGGTACTTTTCAGACTGCCAAAAAGCTTGTCTGAATAGATATCCTTTATTTTAGGGGAACACTCTCTAAACATAAAGGGAACATTGTAGTTACCTAAAGAAAACTTTCATGGATAACCAACAGAGAAAACTAATGTTCCCAGAAAGTTTTTTATTTTACAACAATGAAATTGAAATAAACAAATGATATAATTGAGACAGTTGATGAAATAGTAGGAGTATAGAGCTATGGAATGAATGTCGATGTCTTGGCCTTGGAAGAATTTATTACAAAATGTTTAAGTTCATATTGAAAGCTTGAGAAAGTCGCCATTTGCCCTCCATTTAATTTCATTGCAAATAGTCCATACTCTCTCAATTAATATGAGCTTATAAAAGATCATAGTAATTATAGAAATATATTTTCTAATACACAAGTTTCACAATTTGAGTTGAATTACTGAAATAAATGAACTTTTCCACAACATTCTAATTTATTGAGATGCACCTGTATATAATATTAATAATAACATTAATAAAAATAGAAATATAATAATTTTACATATAATAATATATTTGTATTATAATATTTATCATTACTCAATCTGAATTCCCAAAAGAATTTCATGTCTATTACCAATACATAATGCACTGCACATTTAAATCAAAGCAACATTTGTTGACAATATACTGAGTATTTTATAACAATGAAAT